AGCCTTTCTGTTTAGGATTATGATCACAGATGTTCTAGTAGTGTGATATTTTAGGCTTGTTAATGGGAACCAAGATGGGATGTACAGCACAGCTGGATTGTAAAAGCACCCCTGAGCCAGCGTATGACAGAGGGCAGATTACATCACTTATTAAATCTCGACTCAGCACATGGGCCTATGATTCATTACGTCACTAAACCAGTGCTAATCTCTAAAATAATGTGTATGTTGGGGGACACGTCCTCTTGTTTATAAAGTGCATCTGCATAAGTGTGCATCTGTGGCCAATCTGATTCCATAATGACAATTTGTTCTGATACTTTATCTCATGGATAAAGCAATTAAAACATAAGGTTTTTTTCACAAACAGAATATGTATGCAATGCATTCTCCTCCTCTGCCCTGTGTTTCAGACCTGCTCTCCCTGGCTCTGCAGAGGCAGGCGCATTGCTGTGATTTGGTCTGCTAGGCTGCTACAGATAGAACGCTTTATCGGTTGACAGCTTATGCCTCTCGACCTTAGCTGTTCTTTAATGGGGTTTAGATGTGATAAGAAATGTGTCTATAGGGGATTCAATTTGGAAGTAGTAGCATTGGTTGTAAAATGTGATTCGCTCTTTTGCAAGGTAAGCATTTTTATGGCTATCTTACTAGTTTAGTTTAAGTTCTAGTGCAATAGCAGTAAGAATGATGATATGAGAGACCACAAGCTTTATTTGAAATCTTATTATTACAATAATATTCCTGTGTAACTGCTTTGGTTGTTGTATTTGTCCAGCAATGACCATGTTTGGTGAATATTGAATTTATATCAGTTTGTATTCTGTGCTATTACTCGGAAAAGGAGGCTGTTGTAATGTAGGCAGGTAGAACTGATGCTGGATGAGTAAGTGACTTCACAGGGAGTGATTGGATGATAAGAGGTACATGCTGGCATTTTGTGGGGACTTTTTCCGGGGCTTTATCTTCCTGCTGGGGGGGCAGGATATCTTTTCTCTTGTGTGTATATCTTAAGTTAATCAACCTGTCTCCGGACACTCACAGTTGCTTTATAGTGTCACAACCTACACCTTTCTGTTGATATATAAAATGAAATATTTTCTATACATTGTAAATAGCTTCTTGGTCCTTTGGTTTCAAAGCGCTTGATTATGTTGTCTGTGGCCCAGGGACAGGGTGCCACAGTAACATTGTTAATCACAGATGTAAACAACATTTGACAATGTAAATACAATGAGTTTTTATTCACTGCAACACATGTCAAATCTTAGGCCACAGTCAAAGATCTAAATGTGGCCCCATATGTATGGCGCATGCTTTCACTGACTAAGTCAAAAATTGTGTGTTTAAAACTCAGAATAGAC